ATGGCCGACCGCACCACGATGTCGTTGACCGTGCGGGTGATCAGCTGGCCGATTTCGACCACTGTGCAGCCGCAGCCGCCACTGCGAGCGCACTCGTCAGTGATGTAGCCGATCAAGGCGGCGACCTCGTCTTCCCGGATGTGGCGAAAGGACAGGACACGGCGTGCGCTCATGAGCTCGAGCAGGCAGATGCGGCGGAGCTGGCGCCAGAGGTCACCGTAAGGGCCTAAGGGGAGAAGAGGATGTCTTGGCCACCACGGCTGAAGATGTCCAACGTTGGCGTGAGGTGGCGGCTGGCGAAGGCGGCATCGTGCGTTTTGAGAACCTCCCTGGCGGCCTTGGCAGAGGAGACGACCAGCGTGGGCACATCGCCGAAGTGGAGCAGCATGAGCGGGCCGTGCTTGCGAGAGAGCTCCTGCAGGGCACGGTGCGGCAGGTCGCCGTGGCGCGACAGCAGGAGATGGTGGAGGCTGCCGAGGAGCGGCAGCTTCCATGGCCCCGGCGGGAGCCGCTTTCCCGTCGGAGACGAGGTGTAGATTTTAATGACAAGCAAGAAGAGTAAGATGATTAAGGGGAGGACGGACCAAAGCAACGGAAGTGCTGTAGGCTCCATTGATTTCGTGTGTGTCTCTTTACACCGAATGACTACACGTCCTGAATTTAAATGGCTCGATCGGTGGATCGCACAGAGGTGTTGCTTATTTTTTGATGGGATTGCTAAACCTCAGACTTAACCAAGTCTTAGTCGATGCTATATTCGTGTGATCTTTCATGGAGATCCGTGCAAAATTTCCTTCTTAATTTTTTCATTCTCCTTTTTTATATGTTCTGTCGCTTGACTAAGACTTGGTTAAGTCTCAGTCTATTAAGATCTAGCCACACCACTAGTCAAATCACCTTAAGAAGTTTGAAACAATCGGATGTCTAAAGGCCTGTAAATAATGTCCACCGGAGGCCAAGTCCATGATCTTTCTCATCGTTATCATCATGCAATAATGTCCACGGGAGGCCTTTTTGGTTGAGTTTTATCCACGAGAGAGCTCCCGCAGTCCACGGAAAGTATAATATGCCAACTCAAGCTAGCAGCCATGGTGGTCAAAGTTACCGTTCCTCTTACTTGAACTCGTTATTACATGATTACCCTGATGTATGACTACACCTTTGTTTAAAACATGTATTTATTGGTTTCCAATTTTTTTAGCTGCTTCTCTCATTGTTTTAGTGTTATTGTTCGTATAGCAGCAACAGTAGTACAAAACGACCCTCTTCTGCTTGCTTTTGCCTGCTCTGCCGCCATCCTCGAATGATTTACATTTCGAATAGTTAAAGGCAGTCTCGAAAAACACATTAGGCCCTCTATATTTGGATGTAGGGAGTATCTAATTTTTCCTTTAAGATATCTCAGCTCTTCGAATGATTGGAGAGATCCCTGCCTCCTCTTGGTTGGTCCCGGGCCCGAGAGTGATTGGACAACTTCCTTAAAGAGTCAGCGGATGCAAGCAGAAGAAGAATGTTGAACACCTCACCCTCCAGCTATCTAGATTCACAAGTTGATGTGCCTTGTATATAACATTTATTCAATTTGACCAAAAACAACAGCTAGCTAACTTGACACGTCAAGGTGCTGGCTAAAAATAAATAGCAATTTGAAAAGTCAAAAAATGATTGTTGCCGCCAGCAACAAGCAAGTAACAACTCTCTCTTATTTATATGAATCAACCAATACGTAGAGTTGACTGCAGAAAATAGTGAGGAATGTATAAGACCAAGTCTTGGTGCCCTTGTTTTAATTTATACTAATAGATACCCCGCGCGTTGCAATGGAAAGTTGAGAAAAAAAATGTCTTGAGCATATAGAAAAAAACATATAATGCCTCCATGATTGAAAAATATATGAGAGCATGATCATTTAGTTTAAGCTCATAGTGTTTCTTCTACAATGGACGCATAACAAGAAATCTATATGTCTCATCCATTGAGAATTTGCATGCATTGGCAATGAAATATTGTTCCCGAGTTAAGAACCTTTTTTTTTGGCCATATTTCCCCCTTTTTCTCCAGTCAGTATAAATGTCATAGAAAAAACTTGAAAAGAAGAAAATAGCTAGACCTAATCATGCTAACCTCAACCTGTAGGTTCTCCTAAAATGAGAGGTACAATCGGTAGGATGGATACTCGAGTGCCACAGATACATTATGTAAAGCATTCAACTAACGTAACCAGATTCCACTGCGGTGAATATGAGAGGGAAGTTGTCAAAGTTTGATATATCAAGCAAAAATTATAACATTACCAGCATAGTATTTGTAAAAAGCTTTCTCTCATATTTCTTTGGGCTGCTGCTATCGTCTCCTTTAGTTTGGGTTATGGTTGTTGCATATATCTGTTTGGCAAAATTGATGAAACAACATTAATACTGCTAAAACCCATAGACTATACTTGAGTAAACTAAACCATTCCGTAAATCTGATCGAACCTTTCATTGTCTAGTTAACATAAAGTTATCGGATAGACATAGAGTGAATCTGATTGGATCATTTCTTTGTGTCATCATTAGAAATTTACTCGATACATATAGAGCGAGTTAATCTTAACACAGAAGGCACCAAACATTCTTAACTTCTCAAACATCTTTAATTTGGTAGATACTAGAAACATTACATCAAGCATCTTTGGAGCAACCTAGGTATCTTGAATCAACAACGGTCTTAAATTTGTAGTTCTGAAGAATAATAATCACTCGCTAAATAGATGAAATCAAAATATGCATGTATAGTCATACTTACGTGAGTGCAGGTATTCTCAGGTGCAGAATAAGACTATTTGGTGTCCTTGCTCAGGTGCCATTTATACAAATTGAGGCCGTGGAGGGAGAAAGAAGTGGTGTGTGGCCTCCAGCTTTGATGATGACTTTGGCTCTTGAGTATACAAATCATCAGGTGTTAAAATTGAAAATAAAGAAAGGAAATATGTAGAAGCATGTATAGCTTGTACCTTATATTGATGTGGAGGTCGTTAGGCACCCTGCTGATGCATACGGAGGATGTATAGAAAAGTTTCTTGTTCATATTTTTCTAACCCAGAGTCAGTTCCCCTCGACAGAAGTTTTCTACACAACAGGCCAATTGGACTCCACAGTCAGCCGTCCAGCCGGCCACATCTGGGTGGACGTCGGCGCACATATGTTCGAGACGACGATCTACACGCTCATGGCGTGGGCATGGCAAGTTCCACATCCTGGATAAGGTGATCTTCTGCATGGCACGCTACCACGGTCTCCTCGGCTGCATTCGTGCGGCTCGCATCAGCAAGCTCGACATGAACATAATCATCCTGGTCGTGTCCGTGCTGAAAAGGCGGGTGTCGGTAGACCGCCTGCCCCTTGATGCCGCGCTCGACGTATGGTCCAGTGTCATGCATGGCCAGGAAGCCACCGTTGAGGTGTACAACTGGATTCATGCTCAAGGAGCACCAGCAGGTCCGCCTGGCACATTTGCGATGTGATATGCGATGGGGAGATTAAGCATACATCTAGCACCTTCTTGGGCTTTTGCTTGGTAATGGAAGGCGCAAAATTAGGAACAATCAATGCTTCTATTTCATGTGTATTTCTGGATGCCGTTTCATGGAGATGAATGCGTGCGTGGATCGTGCGGCGGCGAGATTCAAACCGAAGCAGGAGTAGGGTGTTACTTCTCTAGCAAGATTCAGGCCAAAGCAAGAGTAGGGTGTTACCTCTCTGCCAGATTCGAATCAAAGCAAGAGTAGGGCGTTACCTCTCTGGCAAGATTCAAACCAAAGCAGGAGTAGGGTGTTATGTCTACCACGAGGGTTCGAACCTGGGTAAACGTCGTGTATGCGACCCCCTTTTGTACTTCTGGTCTTGCGCATCACCATATCAGTATTACTAACGGTTTTCAGTATCGTCAATAACAATAAGTTTCCCCATATATCAATAGAATTTCTCTTTGCTAACAAGCCGTCTACATGCCACTAAACTAGAACAACTGAACTACTACTAATTGGCGAAGCTTACATAGGTAACATTGAATGAGCTAGCTACTGCTAATGATGTGATCATAATCTTGTTCTTTAACATATTAATATTCAAGTTCTTTTTGCGGGGTGATTAATATTCAAGTTATGGGCATACTAATTGTCTAATTTATCTGATCTAGTTCTGATCTTGTTTTGGCAGCCAAGACAGGTATATATAGTATAGGGGAAGCACACATGTTCCAGATGACCCAAACATGCACAGACATGTTCCCCGTGGAATAAAGCAAACTCCAAGCTAAACATCTACATGGCCTATACCATGGCGCTGCACAGGACGTAAACAAACTTGCACCGAAATAAGTAATGCACTATCTATTCATCTCCCGAACTATTGTCACCAAGAATCTCTTGGTTTTCTAATTGTTGTCTTAAAATCAAACTGTACGGAATCATCCATCTCTCGTTATCACCACCTGGTCGAAAAAGATGGTGAAATGATTTAAAAAAATACTCAAATTTATGGAAAAGTTGATTTCCCTTCCTGGGAAATATTCAATTTCGCTTCTAAGCTAATAAGTTTTTTCCAACAAAATTATGTGGCAGATAATAGCATCTCAATAATTAAACAAGCCCACAAGATATTGATAAAAATTACTTGATTTTATGGAATAGTTGATTTCCGTACCTGGGACATTCAGTTTCTTTTCTGTATCAATATTTTATGTAAGAGGGTTAGCGAGGAGACAATTGGTCGAATCGCTTGTTGTATTGCTGAGCCTCGCGGGCTAGTATATAACAATAAATATATTACAAGACTTAAAGGGTAGGAAGCCTCTACTAGAGATAAGTTAGGAAGAGTATATGAGAAATTACATGGTGTTTCAAAAGAAATATGTCGGCAGATAATAGCATCTCAATAATTAAACGAGCCTGCAAGATTATTGATATATAGGAACTATATATATGTCGGCAGATAATGGTGTTAGAGTAATCATGCACGTCACACGGTGGACAATGGCACGACATAGAGTGGCGTAGCAAGATTCAGCACAGTGCCATAGCGGTCGTTGAGATCAATATCCTCGGGTGCCATGCCATCAGGTAGTCTCCATTCTGTTTTGTGCACAAGTGAGGCTAGTAGCAGAGGCACTGATCGCAGAGCATAGTCCATTCCAGGGCACACCCTCCGGCCGGCTCCGAATGGCCTATAGGTATAGTCGTCCTTGACCTGAAAGTGCACGGCATCGCCTGCACCTGCAGCCAAGAACCTTTCAGGCATGAACTTGTCAGATTGAGGCCATACCGTAGGGTCCCTTCCGATTGCCCACAAGTTGACCACGACGCCCGTTCCGATTGGGACAGGGAAGCCACCTAGTGACACTCCATCGGCGGCCACCTCCCTTGGTATCAATGGTACTGCTGGGTGCAGCCGCAGCGTCTCCTTCACCACGGCATGGAGATAGGGAAGGTTGTCGAGGTCGCTCTCCTTCACAAAGTCATTGGACCCAACTCCAACGCACGCTCTGAGCTCGTGTCGCACCTTCTCCATCTTCTCCGGGTGGCGCAGTAGCTGCGCCATAGCCCACTGCACAGTAACCGTGCTCGTGTCACTTGCGGCGATGAACATATCCTGTATAGAAATAAAACAAATGAACATTCCACGTACATACAATACGTGCAAAGGAAACAAGTACTCAATGAACATACGTACTGTTAGGAACGTGATGATTTCTTGGCGCGTGAGCTTGGACATGGCTTGGCGCGCGAGGAGAATGTCCAACATGTCATTGTTCTTCTCACTACCGGTGTTAGTGCTAGTTCTAGCTAACCGGCGTTGAACGATCTCTTGGTCAAAGAAGTTGAACAGTTTGGCGAGATGTATGGAGATGCGGCGGCGCGAGCCGAGGAGGTGGTCAATTGGTGCGAGGAATGGAAAGGCGTCGGAGACGTTGGATTTCGACCACTCCTCTAGTACCGGCACTATGAGTCCCCTGAAAGGTTGGGCCCCCGGCGCGCGCAAGTCCACGACGTCCTCGGAGAAGAGGATGTTGGATATGACATTGAGCACCGTGCGGTTCACGGCCTCCCTTATTATGACTGGCATACCGGTGCTAGAGCATGCCCTCAAGTACTCGGTGAGATGCCCGGCATGGCATTCTAAGATGGGCCGGATTGTGTCCAAGCCCCGGCCGGAGGAGAAGCGGGCGCCCATGATGACGCGGTCCTGCTTCCACAGCGGGTTGGAACTTGGAAGGAAGACCATGGACGTCGCGCCATACGACATGGCGTGGACGGTATCCGGCACTAGCCGGGATGCGAGCGCTGCGTCATTCTTGGCGAGGGCCTCGTGAGCCGCCGCGGCGGATGACACCACGACAATGGTGCGGGTCAGACCAAGGCGGAGGGACAATATGGGTCCATAGGTTTGAGCAAGGGAGGCGAGAGCGGTGTGTGGGTTGTTGCGGAGCGGGCCGATGACATAGAGCAGGTTGCCGAGAATGGGGTGTCCGGCAGGGCCGGGGGGCTGAGGAGGAGAAACTCTCTTTCGGCCGTGTTTGCGCAGGATATGCCGCGTATGAATGGTGATCAGCGTCGTTACTGCCATGCAAGCCAGCAATGCCAAGAACCACATTGTTGGCGCTAGCTACCTGTATGGAGAGTGCAATCATGTGTTGCGTGTTTATAGATGATGATCTGCGCTGTCAACTTGACAAGTCGGCGCACCACGTGAACCACGATTCACGCCACTACCTTTCTCAAAACACTCTTGACAAGTTGGCACACCACGCGAAGCACGCTTCACATATTTTAATTTCATTAGGCAACAAGCAGCTGAGTACCATGTATATCTCCATGCATGCTAGGAAATCGTGGTCATTGCTTTAGATTATGACACGTTATGTGGGTAGGAACATTGAAGACGACCGGTATGGAAAATATTAGTGCAATTACATCTTTAGCTTTTCCAACCCCATTTCATGTCCGCTAGGGCAAATTCTCCCGCCAGGCTTCACCTCCGCTCGACGTGCCGGTCTGGCCACCGCCGACGAGGAGGGGAATCCTGATGCCTCCACTCCGGTCAGTAGCTTAGTTTATGGTTTTTTAGTCCTCACTGGTAATGATCATCACTTTAGATTATGACGCATATGTGGTAGAAACAATGAAAACGGTACATATGGAAAATATCACTGCAACTAAACTGAGTGCAACATTTTGGTGCTCGGGCTACATGGTGTCTTTTTTTGAAACATTCAAAAATCACATTTCAAATATTCAAAAAAGTTCCAGATGGACAGATGCTTTTTTGGGTTTTTACTTTCCGAAAAGTGAAGCACAGTTGTGCTCCTCGCATGAAAGCATAACTGTGCTTCAGCAAAAACTGAAGCATAGATGTGCTTCTGCGTGAAGCACGTTTGTGTTGCTCGCGTGAAAAATTAGATCTGTTCTTCCCCAAAAGTGAAGCACAGTTCAGTTTTGAAGCACGGGTTATTACTGTTTTGGAGCACTACAACATATTTCCCAATAAAGATTCGTTGAAACCTATCACCATGGGATGTAGTTTTAAAACTGGACGTGAGGAACACAATGGTGAAAACGGTTCATGATTTGGGCACACGGTTCAAAAGAGAAATTATTTTCTAAATTGAATGGACAAAAAAAAGAAATAAAAATATCCCACCCATCTCCCCATGTGCGTGGGAAGAAACCTCACCAAATATCTCGAATTGAACAAGTGTTACACATGCGGTGTGCCACTTGTCACCACCAAAGGAGGTGCGATCTGTTTTTGTGCATCATGCGTTTGTTACGAATTTGTCTTTGTAAAAAATGAAATAGAATGAAGAGAATAAGAAATAGCATACCAAATCACGCACTTGACAAGTTGGCACACCACGCGAACCACGCTTCACATATTTTAATTTGGTTCGGCAACAAGCAGTTGAGCACAATCGTCCATGCGTGCTAGGAAATCGTGATCATGGCTTTAGATAATGATACGTTTGCGGGTAGAAACATTGAAAGTGGCACATCTGGAAAATATTAGTGCAATTGAATTGTGTGCAGCATTTTGGTGCTCAGCCTACATGAAGCCTTTAAACAAATATTTATAATCACATTTCAAAGTTTCAATATTTTTGGAAAAAAAGTCCACATTAACATACTCCATCCTTTCCTATTTATAGTGCGCATAGATCCTAGCATTAATACCAATGTATGAGCTAGCTCTTATGCTATGGACCAAAATACCCCTCCATGCAGATTTGTCTCGCTCCCATGTGCATGTGCTGATGTAACACCTGTCTTTTCAGCTAAGGATAATGGTTGTCCGAAACTGTATGCACGACACTACATTATAGAATTTGGGCCAAATGCTAGTACGCTTCTCAACAGGGGCGGAGCTGGGCCCCGGGCACCCAGGGCCCAGGCCCGGGGCGTAGAATTTTTTACTAGCCTATTATATATGTATGATTTTCTGCAGGCCCGGGGTGCAGAGCCCAGTAAAACGAAGGCCCATAGCGGCATTTGCTGTCTCACCTCATAAAACAGACGCACGAGCACAAGGAGACTTCTCTCGGAAAAAAAAGAGCACGAGGAGACCTCCAACTCACGCACGCGCAACAGGAAAATAGGAAACTGACGGGCGCACGCACATCACGAATCTTCAGGAGACGCCAGCGATCGCGAGGCCGACGCCGATCTAACGCGCACACGACGCACGCAAGATCAATCTGCAGAAGTGTAGAGTCCAGACTCCAGCGCTCACGCCGGCCGCCGGCGCCGGCGTTCGCCGCCGTCTCGGCTACCGCTGGATCTACCAAGGTTCGCCCAATCTACCGCTTCTTGACTGCCGTACCTTGGTATTTTTTTTATGCTTTCCCAGTTTCCCTTGAATAGTTGATGCTTCTGCTCGTATCATGTTGTTTAGATTGGGCGAAGCGGTAGATTGAAGCAGTTGTCGTCCAATTCTGGTACAAAATTTTTGCATATATGAACGCTGAACTTCATATATGAACGTTAAATCTTTTCCTTATGGCAAAAAAAAAAAAATTAGGCCCGGGGCTTGCTCCAATTCTGGCTCCGCCACTGCTTCTCAAAATGTGAAGCATAGGTGTGGTTTTGTGTTTCCCTAAAAGTAGAGCACAGCTGTGCACGACACGTGAAAGCACAACTATTCTTCAGAAAAAAGTGAAGCACTGATGTGTGTGAATCATATTAGTGCTTTTCGTGTAAAATGAAAAGGACAGAACTTGCATTCCTACGGCGCCGAATATTTTTTAAGATGGCAAATGTTTGCAGTAAATGAATGTAACTGTTGAGAACAAAACTTAGGATTATAAGAAAATAGGATACTGCGTATGCCTACCCAAAAAATCAGACTTAATCGGGTTAAAAAAAGTGACTTAATCCTAGGCACAAATAAGACATCCCTAGTTGATTCGTGGGATTACAAAAAACACAGGAATGAAAAAAAAAACATGTATGCATTTCAAGTGTGAAAAATTAATTATAGTAAGAGCATGGTTGATAGTACAACTAGCTGATGGTTATACGATGTTGCCATGTTATCTATGGTTAATCTTACAGCCGACAAGTACAATAATTAGATATAAAGAAGTGCTACTTTATTACTATATGACGCACATCCCATTCTCACATAATGTCTAGAAGCGCATGACGCGGCTCCTTTTCTCTCCCGTTCATGTTAGCAGAAAATTATTTTAACTCTTATAACCAGGTTACCTAAACTTATTGTACTCGCTCTAAATGTATTTCGAGTGGCACTAGTGAACCGGCCCAATCAATTAACTGTGACAGGGCCAAGTACATACTCCGCTTGTATATATAATACTACTCACTGTGATAACCATTATCCATTCCACATCAAGACCACCGAGACTAGCTAAGCTAGGTAGCAATCACGATGAGCTTCGCGGTGAGCAAGTCCCCGCCGGTGATGGTCCGGCCTTCGACAGAGCCGGTGCTGATGCCCGGGAAGACGGCGGCGGCGACGCAAGTGGTGCAACTCTCGTCGTGGGACATGGCCTACGTGGACTTCCAGGTCACGGTGCTCCTCGTTTTCGACGGCTCGGTTCACCAGCCCGTGGAGGCCATCAAGAAGGGCCTCTCCCGGGCGCTCGCCCACTACCACACCATCGCCGGCCGCCTCGCCGGCGCCGACGAAGAAGACGGCGTGCTCCTGCACGTCGCGTGCACCGGCGAGGGTGTGCCGTTCGTGGCCGCGGCGGCGGGATGTACCTTGCATGATCACGGGCTCTTGCACGCGCCCTTCACGACCAGCCTCCTGGACGATCTAGCCGTTTACTACCCGGCCCCTGAGGGCTGCCGGAGCACGGACCCGATGCTGCTGATGCAGGTCACTGAGTTCGCCTGCGGCGGGTTCACCGTGGGGGTGACGTGGAACCACACGCTAGCCGACGCCACCGGGATGGCGCAGTTCCTGCAGGCCGTGGGCGAGCTCACCCGCGCTGAAGCTGATGCATCGTCGGTGCCGTCCGTCACGCCGGTGAGGGACGGCCGCGCGGTGTCCCTTCCTCTGCTCTCGCCGTCCGTGGTTGCCGCGAAGCAGTGGCTGATGCTGGACCTCGGAGGCCAGAGCCTCGTTTACCTAGACATCATCGTCCCGCTCAAGCTCATCGACCGCATCAAGTCCGACTACAAGCCCGGGTACTGCACGACGTTCGAGGCCACGGCCGCCGTGCTGTGGCGGTGCCGCACACGCGCGATCATCGGCGACGACCCCGACGGCTATGACATGTCCACGCCGGCGCCGCTGGCCTTCACCGTGAACGTGCGCAAGCACGTGGGCGTGGCGGCAGGGTACTATGGAAACTGCGCGGTCGCGCAGCTGGCGTTCGCGACGACAGGAGAGGTGGCCGGCGCCGGCGCCGGGGACGACGGCATGAACGGCTTGGTGGATCTGATCAAGCGCGCCAAGGACGGGGTCCCGGAGCTGTTGACAGACATGAGAGCCGGCGGCGGCGGCGCGGTGGACGGGATGGGGGAGGAGGAGATAGCAGCGGCGTTCGGGTACAACGCGGTGATGGTGACGAGCTGGCGGAACATCAGGTTCTACGACGCCGACTTTGGCGGCGGCGCCCCGGCGAGGGTGGTGGCGCGTTGGCAGCAGTCGACGCTGCCGTGCATGGCGTTAGTGTCCTGCAGGGCAGCCACGGCGGCCGACGGCGAGAGGCTGCTGACGCAGTGCGTCAGGGCGGAGCACGCCGCCGCGTTGCTCACCGAGCTCGCACATGCATCGTGCGCCTGAGTAACTATGAACTGATGGCACGTACGTATACGTATGTTTGGTGTGGCACGTACGTGTAAGTATCCTGCGGCTGAGTACCATTTGTCTTTTTTATTTAGGGAGTACCTAAAAATCATCTAGATGAGATATAATTTGTTCTCATTCACTTTGAAAACAAGAACAGATACAACCCACATCAGCACACACGCATATTATAGCATCACATCCAATGGCTATAAAAGGTGAATGAGATCAAATTATATCTCATCTAGATGAGTTCTAGCAAAACTGTTTTATTTATGATGGTGGTGTACCATTGTCGTTGTCGTTGAGTTGTGAATAAGGAGTACCCATTATGTTATGTG